ATCTGAGCCATGCCACAGGGTAACCCTTCCTTTGGGCAGGACTGACAGGAGACCATGTCCAAGGCCCTGCATCCATGGGGGTTTCTGCACTGGGCAGTGTGTGGACATAGAACCACTGACCAGCCTCTGGGCTCGGTCCTGGTCACTCCTGCCCATTAGTAGCTGCTGCCCAGTTGGAACTGGTGAGTGGTGGGTGTTGGAGTGAGAGGCTGCTGGGGTCAGTGTGCTCTGAGAAGGCAGAAAGCAGCTCTAAATGGCTTTCTGTAAATGAGAAGGCTGCCAGCTCTGTCACCAGGGCTGTGCTGGACACCAAGCCAGGCTTTGTGCAGCTGAGGAGGACGTATCTTCCCCTTCCATCCCCTGCTCAGCCCCAACCATGACCACCACAGCCGTGCCTGTGCCTGCCAAGCCCCTCAGCTGACAGAGCAGGGGGAAGCTGGCCCTGCCAGGGGCTGCTGTGGGGCTCCTCTGCTGGGTTTTGTGCCACTGCTGAGGCCTCTGTGTCAGAGTGCCAAGGCTCTGCTCCTCACTGTGCCTCTGAGTGTGATGTGTGGTTGTGGGGAGCAGCCACAGAAGTGCCTGTGTGCGGCTTCTCTGCTGGTTTGGGGAGGGGAAAAGAGTCCAAGAGAGAGCAAAATCTGATGGATTTAGTGTGGCAGATGGCTGTGGCTTGGCAAGCACACCCAAACCCCAGCACCAGGAATAGATGGGTATTTGGTGTGTGTTCTGACAATGCTGTAAAGGAGAAGGAAGGAGAGTTTTCCCTCTCTGCCTGCTGGGGAACTCAGACAAGCTGGAGGAACAGCCTGGAAAAGGGAAAGCTCTGGGGTGACCTAATTGTGGCCTTCCAGTACCTGAAGGGAGCCTACAGGAAAGATGGACAGAGACTATTTACAGGGGTCTGGAGTGATAGGACAAGGGGGAATGGCTTCACACTGACTCTAGGGCAGGGCTGGATTAGATATTAGGAAAAAAATTCTTTACAGTGAGGGTGGTGAGGCCCTGGCACAGGTTGCCCAGGGAAGCTGTGTCTGCCCCATCCCTGGAACTGTCCAAGGCCAGTTTGGATCAGCCTGGTCTAGTGGAAGATGTCCCTGCCCGTGGCAGGAATGGGCTGAGCTTTAAGGTCCCTTCCAACCCACGAGCAGGTCCTAGAAACCGTTTCTCACCTGGGCCCCCCCACTCTTTGGGGAATACTTTTGCATTTGGAAGGTTTTGGTGGTACCTGTGACAGCTCCTTCCTGCCCAGCTCTCAAAGCCCAGCCCGACACCTCCAGTGAGGAAGACTGACCTGAGCCCAGAGGGATGAAGGTTTGGAGGCTCTGCCTGTCTTGTGCCCCCCAGTTCTTCCTGTATGTTTTTGCCTCAGGTGAACCAGTTTGGGCTCGGGTACCTCAGAGCCAGTGCAGTACCTGCACCCTGCAGGGCCCTCCTGCCGCGCTCCAGGCGCCAATAAATTAATGAGTGTCTGGGATTAATTAGTCATGAGTTGCCTTGACTCGCCTCACGCTGGCTCCCAGTAAGGCAGGATTTACAATTCTCTCTCTCTCTACCCACAGAGGAAGGCAGGGAAGGCGCTCAGGATTCCCAAGGGCCACGGAAGCAGAGGAGCTGCCCCCGAGGGATGTCACGCTCCGACCTGGAACAGCTCGCCCAGGGCGGGGAGGACATCGTGGAGGACCTGGCCTTCTCAGATGATGACTGAGCTCCCTCACAGCCTCCCCTCCACGCTGATCCCTTACAGACTGGATTCCCTGAGCCTCCAGCACCCGGAGCAGGGGGTAAGAGCCGGGAACACGGCAGGTGGGAGCCCCAAGTGCCACCGAGGACTCGCTCAGTGACGCGGCGGAGACGCAACTTGGGACTCTCAAGCTTTTTCTGCCAGTTATGTTTTTGGTAACAATAAAACTGTGGTCACGTCAAGGCCAGTGAAACTGCTCAGCAGAGATAATAAAAAGCCCTCATTAAAAATCTGCTGCTTTAAATAGCACAGGGTTCAGTTTGAGCTCCTGCTAAGCGAGCTGAGCAAGGGAAGTACGAGTTTTCTTGGCTAAGGTTCCTCTCTGCTCCACCACCCACCCCTGTCACCCCTTATCTTGCTCTGGGGCACTCACCAAAACCAACCCTGTTGCCAAGAAGGTCTTAAGGATGGCACAGCGTGTTTCAGAGCTTTGTGGCTTCAATGGAAGCCTTTTATCAGCTCAGTCAAGCTGGCTGTAAGTGTGCTACAGAAGGTAACTTCACATTGAAGTTCCTTGGGTTGGGGAGGCTGTGCAGGCAGGAAGGAATAAGGAAAGGCACAACTAATAATGCAGGAAACACTTCCATTTTGTGTTAGCTGTTGGATTTGTGTGGGATGAGTCTGAGTTTGGCAGTACCTGTCACCCACAGGGACATAAAATCAGCCCTTTCTAGGGCCAGTCCCAGCTGCTGTGAGCACCCTTTTGTTCTGGGAGACCCCAAAACAGTGACTTTGGCTTTTATTGCCTCAAAGCCAAGCCCTGCATCACCTGGGCAGCCTCCAGATGCAGCTCATTATGTCTCTGCCCCTGGGAGTGCTGCCTGTGGGGGGACAGTTTAGCTCAAGGTGGGCACTGGGCAATTTGTGATCTGCTGGGAAAGAAAAAAAAGAGCTTCTCTCTTGAGACCACGGGTAGTTTGCAAGGCTGGCAGCTAAGAAACATATTTCTTTGGAAAATAAACTGGAAATAGAGGGCATTTGCTGTTCAGTATCCTTAGGGCACAGCTGACAGAGTCACTCCTAAAAATTAACTGTGCCTCTTGAGAACATTATTATTTGTTAATGCAGATTTTTTTTTTTTTTTTAAAAAGAAGATAGAAGGCCAGGAGTAAATACATGATATTTATTCTTCTCTGCCACCATTCAGTGAGGTCAGTAGGTGTCTGTCAGTGCTTAGGGTGGCCAAGTGACTTGCACAGAGAGGGGCAGCTCTGCCTTCATGGCACTGCCTCCCTGTGCCCTTCCAGGCATCCTTACACTGCACACCACAAGGGGACAAGATGGTTTTTAAAAAAAAAGAACATTTAAATATAAAATATACTTTTATTTTTTGTGGCTTTTTGGAGCTTAGCAGCAGGAATAGGGGCGGGGAAGGCTGCTTATTCTTCAGTTACAGGAATTACCAGGCCTGCACCCGGATACTTCCTCCCATAGGAAGGCTAACCTCAGAAATTAATAATTTGGGGTTTATTGTTAACATAATCATTATTGTCATTATTTAAAGCCCGCTCTGAGGGGGCCAAAGTACCTGCTGGTTCATTAGGGGCTAAGGAGCCCTCAAGACTGAGGCTGAATCCTCAGACAGGTCCATATGGGAGTTCAGGATGTAACTCCACAGGTGAGAACTGTGATGTCCTAACTGTAAGGAAAAGGTTTTGACTTACCTGTTCTTCCAAAAGAGAAAGGACTTGCTTTATCTCCTTTCTCTATCTTAGCTGGGCAAAGTGCTGGCTGCCTTCTGGCAGCTGTTAACCATCCCCTGGATTGGTTTTTAGGCCAGAAATGTGGCAGCTCTGAAGCACCAACACCCACATGGCCCCAGTGGAAAAAAAAAAAGGAGAGAGACTTCTTGGTTAAAGCCAGGTACCATTTGTAAATTAAGTGTTTTCCTTTTTTTATTTAAATTGATTGCTGGAAAGCATTTTTTTATCGTGATGTGATGCATAATGACTTTTTTTTTTTAAACTTTTTTTTTTTTTACAATATAAAGAAGCTAATGTACCACCAAGCTATTTTGTAAGAAAAAAAACAAACGGTAGCACGTGCAACGTTTAACCAAAAAACAAACAAACAAAAAAAAAGGGGGCAGGGGAGAGAGAGAGAGAAAAGTACCACATGTGATTGTTGTTCACAACTGTACAAGTCACAGGAGGTCACCCCCAGGAGTTCCCAGCTCATTCACAGTAGTAAAAACTCTGCCCATTGTTTTTTAGCCCCCAGCATCCCTCCCCCTCCCAGGGATCTGTCTCATGGTCCACAGCAGGCCAGAATGTGCAACTACATCCACCTCTGTAACAAGGCTTTAAAGAAGAACAAAAAACCAACCCTAGGAACAAAAATAAAAAAAAAAAATCAATCAACCCCACCCCAGATGTAGCAATGAGTCTGTTGGACACGTGAGGAGGGAGGCTGTGAGCCTTCATCCCACCCAAGCAACACGTTTCCTCCTTCTTCTTCTTCTTCTCTTTGAAACAGGACATCTAATGGGGGAAAAAAAATAAAAGAACACCTCTGTAGGGCTGGAGCACAGGCAGAGTCCATTCTCCTGTGTGCTGACAGGGCCCTGTGCCAGGGAAGGGGCCAGCCCGGAGCCGCCGGTGCCGTACCATCCGCACGGAAGTAAACATGGACGGGAACTTGCCTTTTTTTTTTTTCCTTTTTCTTTTTTTTAATTCCTCTTTTTTTTTAATTTTTTTTTTTTAATTTTTCCTTTTTTGTCTGTCTTTGGTATTGTTTTCAAAGTCGCTAGAGATGCATAGACACCTGAATGAGGAACTGAGCACAGTTTCCAGGGAGGAGGAGAGATCTGGGAAGGTGGTTGGTGTGATGATTTTTTTTTTTTATGGTTTTTTTTTTTTTCTCTTTGCTCTCAGGGGTGCTGAGTACCATTGGGAGGAGCGGAGCCCCTTCCCCTTCCCTGCTTGGAGTCACACCCAGGAGTTCCTTACAGCCAGGATTCTTTGAAGGCAAAGAACAGCGTTCATTCCCTGTCCAGGGCTCTCCATCTCTGGGCGAGAAAGGGAACAGGAATGCTGCAGCCATCCTCCAGAATCCTTCTCTTCACTCGCGTTGTCTCAGGACATCTTTGGATCATTTTCTTTCCTTCCCTTTTTTTTTTTTTTTTTTTTTTGAAATCTTCT